TGCTGAAGTATTTGGACTAGAACCGTCGCTTAATAAATTAAATTCTCCTAAAAGATTAAATTCATAAAAAAATTAAACGATATATATTATAAACTGAGAATTTCATTATTCAATAATTTTTTCTCTTTCCATACCAGATTTTCTATCGGTAGCCATACTCCAAGGTCTTGGCTTTGGAGCTGTTACAGGTGGAACAGGCTTATTTTTTGAAAGAGCACCATTGTTTTTTCCATCTGTGATGGAACTATTCCCTTTGGTTAAAGACCTTAGTACTGGGGATTTTGATGATTCTGAATTACTTTTTGTACTGCTACCATTTGTTGGACTACGAAGATCAAAACCAGTCGATCTTAATTTAAGAGAAGGCAAAGGTTGATTTGCAGTCTTATCCGTTTCTATTACAGCTTTTTTTGTTAAACTTTTTCTGTTTTCATAATCCTTAGAGATAGTCATTGCATCTGAGGAATTTATAGCTGTTGTTTGTTGTAATATTTTATTATTTTCATCCGAATCTCGTAAACTGCGTGTACTTGTTCCAGAACCAATAATTGGTAATGTACTGCGTTTAGATGTGTCAGCGGAATTACTAACACAACTATTATATACATTACTACTTGTATCTTTATTACTATCAGATTTTGCAACAATTCGTTCATGATTTTGAGCATTATCAGTGGTATTTCGTCGAGTTAATGGAGAAGCAGTTAATGGTGAATCACCTTGAGATCTTCTGCCAACAAGTGGAGAAAATTTTTCTAAATTATCACTAGATCGTGATCGTGGTGTAGGTTCGAGAAGTGTTTTTAGCATTGGAGAACTACAACCAGGTTTTTTGTCCATCTCAGGTGGAATACTTTTGTGACTTGTAAGAGATAAATTTGGACTACCATCAGTTGGAAAAGTATGCAAAGAACTACAGTAAAATAAAAAGGTGAATCAATATACATAATTTTCATTAAAAAAACGATAAGTTATAATTTTAAATATAATACCTATCATCGCTAGTAGGAGATATGAGAGGTGTTGTTGGTGTAGTTGGCCTGAAAAACACATCAAGCCCTTCTCCAAGAGCAAGACCATCCACTTGTTGATCAGGTCTCAGCATTGGCCTTGTAGGTGCTCTGGTTTTTGTTCTACGTGGTCTAGATTTTACTAAATGTTGCAGTTGTTGTCCTACAGTATTAGGTAATTCAGAAACAGAATCTAATGATTCTGTCAAAGAATGTTCTGTTTCTGAAATAGCTAAAAACATACATTCAAGATAGAAATAATATATTTATTTGTATTTAAACATTATAATATTTCTTATCTTACAAAAAATATTAACCTTCTGCTTGACTTTTTGGTAATGATGGTAACAAATCTGGAATGTCATCGGCTGAAAGACCTTCCACAGAATCGACTACAGATTTCGGTCGCAATTTCCTTCCGTGGAGACTTTTTCGTTTATTTGATAAATGTGGCGTAGCCTAAATAAAAAGAAAATAATTGTTAATATAATTAATAAGTTTAATATTTTTTGTTAATAATCCTTATTTGCAATTACATACTAAAAATAATATAAAATTTAACCAACAAATGAAATGTTCATTATATATGTATCTTACTTACAAGATTTAAATAATCCAATTTCTAGACAGACATGGAAGTTTCATATTACAGTCATTATAATAAACATTATTATAACATATAAATCGAATTCTATACATAAACAAATTGTGTTCTTTTACCATAGGAGATTGATCACTGGAACATTGACCAATAGAATTCACAAGTGAGTAAGTTTCTGGTGGACAATCTTCTTCTGAGGCAATACTAGTTCTACCAACAGGTAATGCTGTAGATACGCCTACAGTGCTTGTAACTCCTATAACACTTCCACTACTCATTGAACCAGCACTAGGCCGTAATACGTCAGGCGTACTGCTTCTTGTCCTACTATCACAGTCACCAATCTAGAAATATCAACATGAATATCAATGTCAAAAATAAAAGATTCCAAAATTAAACTTTCGATATAATACCTTTTAGCATGTATTTAACAGATATGAAGTATATTATACATACTAAGTTTTTATAGCTTCTTGACAATGATTCAATTACTTCATCTGTTATTCTATCGGATACATGTGCAGCAACTGCCAAATTTAATTCACTATAAAAAAAAGTGGAAATAAATAATTATAAATAATAAAATAAAATAATAATTATGTAACAAATAAATATTCAAGTCAAAATGACTATGTAATTATAATTCATACTTGACTCTATTAACTATATCTGCTCCAGCTTGTTCGGTAATAGTAGTATGTATGAATTCACTACTAATTTGATTTTTTTCTTTACAACTACTTCGTAAATCATCTTCCACTGCAACTGATTCACTTTCGTCGCCTCTAATAACCGTTTGTGAAAGTATTGTAGGACATTGTTCATTTGCACATTTTATCATAGCATCTAAGGAATCCTATATTTAAATTTTAACAATTAAAATTTATTATATTCTATGCTATAGTGATATATGTTTAATTATACAATACCTGTAAATATATGGTTACAACTTTATGAAGTTCATTTGCCATTTCATGTAATTTTAATTCGATGGGATTATTTTCATCTCGTCGTTGTAGAACTTCATGTAATCTGGGTAAAAGCTAAAAGAATATCACTTACATAAAGATTTATTCAGAACTTAATTATTGTTCAATATTTTATACCTGCTTTGAATTATCTGCATCTTGTATAAGTCCAGTTGCATAATTAATGTCATTATTAGAATCACAACTTTCTGCAGCAATAGCTTTAATTGTATCTTGAGTTTGTACAACTAATCTATCGACCATTTGTTGTGTAGAGCTTAATAAAAATCCTTGTTGCAATCTAAATGCCTGTCCGTGACTATATTTACACGGTGTGACATTTCTTTGTAATAAATCTTGAATTTTTTTAGCTAATTGCTCAGTTTTATCAGCAGAAGTTTTCATACAAGGTTGTAAATCATAAATTGGGAATGGCATATGTCTTACACTACAATTTCTACAAAAATGTGTTATAAATAAGAAAAAGTATTAATAAATTTGCATTAATAATATAAAAAATTACATACTTTTCTAAAGCATGAACAATGTCAGCATAACCTTGAAGAGTAATATTATTTTTATCATAAATTATGGTCCGCAAATGATTATTAATTTGTAGGGCTTTTGCCAACAACCTAGCACCAGGATCTCCAATCTGATTACCACTAATATCTAAAGTATGAAGACATGTATTACTACCAAGAGCATTGATAAGATTGTAGAGATCAGATTTCAAGCGAGAATCTGGTAAATGTAATGCTTGCAAAACACAATCATCTTCTTGAAGCATTTGGACAAGTGCATCCATTACAACAGCAATATGTTTGCTTTTCATGCTAACAGTATTGCGACCCATATATAGTTGTTTGATAGATTTATTTTTCCCTATAGCAGTTACTACTTGTGCTAAATCAACATCCATATCTATGGAAACACATATACAAAATACAAAATTCAAATATTGATGCAATAAATTTATTTATATTTTTATATACTTACTACTATCTGAAATATCCAATGATGCTATGCAACGTACACCATGAATGCATGATTCCAATACATGAGCACCCATGGAGCCTAAATTGTTTCCACTCATATCAAGTTCTAAGCCAACTGTACTTTCATTACATGCCAAACCAAGTAACAAATGTTTTAATGCTTCTAGCGGCAATTTACAACAAGATATATTTAAGTACTTTAATGAAAGTGTAGCTGTAAAGAACTGCTTAAAACTGGGAGGTATTTCTTTGGTCTTTTTGCTTGAAAAAGAGTTGCGAGCAACATTTAAATGGACTAGATTAGTTGCACAACCCCGTAATAAAGCACCAAACAACTAGACAAAATAAATATAAAATATGAAATTTGTTATAGTCAAATTTTATATGTAAAATGTTAAAATACTTACACATTCTAATGTTGTATCTGTACCACTTAGATCTAAATGAGTTAGGCTGTTAGGTTGTGCCAAAAAATTACATAAATTCTGTAAATACATAATATATTCATATCAATAATATAATAAATTATATTGCTTGCATTTTATTTATATTTTTTTACTAATTATTATATATATCAATATAATTATTTACTATACCAAAGTTTACTTCATCATATAAAAATAACTTACATTAATATCATCTTTTAAAGAATTTTCTGAAAGATTCAAATATTGTAAACTAGTTGGCATGCTTCTATTTAAACTTAGTGCATGCGCAATTTGACTTATTCCTTTTCCAGTTAATCCACAATGTGCCAAGTTTAATTTTTGTAAACCTTTAGGTAATTTTCCAACAGGTCCACTTAAATGTGCACCTCCTTAAAAATAATATTATTATAAGTGATGTTATTAATGGACGCATATATTTATAATTTAACTAGTCCATTTAATAATTAATAATTGAATTAAGCGTAGTAACATATAATATTATATGTATTAAATAAACATAAGTGCATGCTATGTATATTATAGAACTAAATATACGCCATAACAAATATTTTTTTAATTTTAAGGAGAATATGAAGATAAAAATGAAGGATTACATTTCTAAACATAAAAGGATAAGGGAAAATTTAAATAACAGTAATGGTTATTTGCACACCTTGCATTAACTTGGCTATTATCCCACACAAGCTAGAGGCTCCTACAAAAATATAAAAATAAAAATTTGTACAGGGATATTTAAAAAATATACTTAAAAATTGGATGAAAAATGAAGAGTTGAAAACATAAAATGGCTCTACTAAGGAGAAACATTCTATATAAAAATCTTTACAATTAATACTTACCTTTGTCCTCAATGGTATTATATGATAAATCAATAGTCTGTAACATTGTATTAGCATTAGAAATTAGAGCTAACGATAATTTGTGCGCAAAATCCCTAAAAAAAAATACTATATCAATTTATTTATTAAAATAACTTTCATAATATTTATGTATTTTCCTATTTTTACCATTTGATTCCAAGATTATCTAAATAAAGTTCCTGAATGGAAAGGGATCTACGCATAACATGTAACAATCTTTCCAAAGGTTCATGACTTAGTTTTAGATGAGATGCCCTTAATTTTGTAAACCAAGTATTATATTCCAAGGCAGAAATGATTGGCACCAAATCTTTTTGATCCAAGTGATCAAAATCTCTTAAATTTAACTCTCTTGTATCATGAGAGAGGTATATTGTATCAACATCCTATAAATGTAAATTTTCTTGGAAAAGATTCAATAATGTCAATACATTTTTATATACTTTAGCAAGTTACCCAGGCTACTTCTTCTCTATATGGTACACCATGTAAATCACACATACATGCATATTGGGTTGAAAACCCCCCACAGGGGCCTGTATGTCTTGTTGCTTCTGTACTTCTAGCTAATTCACTACCTCTTATACTCTGCAGTCTACTAGCTGGTATTACTTCTATTTTTCTTATAATGTAACTATAATAAAAATTATAATATTAATGTTAGATCTTTCAATGTTACAACAAAAAAGAAAAAAATGCACAGTAACATAGTAAACACTTACTTTAATGGTACAGTGGGAAAGATATTTCTAATTGCAGTATGTAAGGCCTCGATCATTGCATCTACTTCTGTAGTATCTGCACCAGCTCCTGTAGTTGTAAAATTGTAATATCTTTCTCCAACGCTTAAAGATAGTTGATTTGATCTTTTGGATTCTATAGATGTTATTTCTAAGTAATGAAAATGGCAGTCGATCTGTAAATTAATACATTATTAGAAAAATAATCAATTTTATTTGTAATAACAAAATAACCATATAATCTTACTCTTGTGGGCACTTTGGCCGTTAAGAGAAACAAACGGCATGGTGAAAAAACCTAAAAAACATAAAAATTTTATTTTTCATTGAACTATCATTTTTAATAAATCCATATTTATTTTATTCTATAATATTCTACCATTTCAAACATAACTTACCAGAACACGATTTTCTTGCTTATCTTGTTTTGTTTCCAGTTTTACAACATTTTTTAATAATATCTTAACATGTTTACCCAATAGTGCTTTCACCGATTCTACAAAAAATGAATAATTTATGAAAAGTTATTCACTTAAGTTAATTATAATTTGTAAAATGTATAAAATAACTAAAAAGATATATAAAATTATAGTGTAACTTAATTTGCGTACTTGTAAAATAAAATAAAAAATAATAAAACTTTATAAACATTGTTAAATAATGTATTTTCTTAATATATGACAGTTCAATGATACGAACGTAAACATTCAATAGAAGACAAACCGTTTAAATCTTTCGTAAGTTGCGATCTGGTTGACATTTTGTTAATTGGCTTATTTTTCAAACATCAACAAGCCCATTTAAGACATTGTTTTTTGTCACACGGTTATTAAAGTTTTGTAACTTGTTTAAAAAAATGTTAAGATAAAGGGCGATGTCACGAAACTATAAAGCTGAATAGCCGCCATATTAGCACCTGCCCGTGATCCATTCTATTCCAATCCGGTCAGTTCCATTCTTACAAGTGTATTTCATTTTTTTTTCTCTCCGTACTAAATATAACTAAAAAAAAATGGTAAAATAAAACGATATTATAATCAGTTTATCCACTGATTTTGTGTATATGGGTAATGTTTATAAGTAATATAAAGTTCTTTATTAAAATATTCCTTTTGTAGTAGTACGATGACATATTGAAATTATATCTCATCACAGTAATAAATACTTATCAACACTTAAAATATAAAGATACTATTAAAATATTATACAATATTGTAGAATAATATTTCAGTACTAATTATGATACATTAAAATAATTTTTATATGTACAATGGAAAGATAAAATAAACTTATAGCATATGTTTGTGTTATATTATTTTATTATAATCTTAGGCTTAACCATTTAGTGTCACGCAGCGCGATCGCGCTATTGGGGTGCTGTGCTAAAATGTATCATGGCGTTTAGTTAATAGCTTAGTTTCAAGTCAGTCATATGAAAGCTTCCTTTTTTAATTACTATCTCTTTTTTTTTTCAATTGAACCTAAATCATGTGCATAATTAAGCAGCTTTACTTTATTTATTTTTATTAAAGTAACTATTACTATGCCTAGTAACTATTACTATGCCTAGTAACTATTATTCAGTCAGATAAAGGAAACACTATCGCGCCGCATAGCACCATTTCTGACATGAATTTTTAAAGACCTCTGGCACTAAAACAGTTAAATTTACATTAATTAAACATGTTTGCTATAAAAAGAGTTCTGAATAGAATACAAATTCTTTCTTGTAGAACTTGCACCACACAATCAAAATTAGTTGAAGTTACGCAAGATGATACAGGTAATATCATTTTTAATTTTATGAGATATATTATTATTTAATAATTTTTCCTGTCAGGTATCGCTATAATATCAATGAGAAATCCACCTGTAAACAGTTTGAATAAAAAATTATTGGATGCTTTAAACATGTCCTTAATAGATACCCAGAAACAAAAATATCAAGGCATTATATTAACATCATCAAT